CCCCCAAAACCCCAAAACCCCAAAACCCCAAAGCTGATGAACCAGGTTGAATTTAAGAAGTTAATTTTTATGATAAAATCTCTTGTGTTTAATAATGGTGTCTTTACAAGCCTTATCACATCTCCCCAGTGTTTTCTCTAAGAGTTCTAGTTCAAGTTTGCGATGATTTAGTTATTCTTCGAACCACAGCAGGAGAGCCAAAGTTTAGTTTAGAGTAACTCCTCGCCATCTTCACCCTGCTTTTTATAGATCCGAAAGCCTTCTCAACGCGATCCATCTTCGAACAGTAGAAAGGAAGAAGCATAGTCTGTCATGTATCTTGTTTCAAAACCTTGAAGCATGGGTGTCCTCTTTATCGATTGTAATAACTAAGAATTGCTTTCCGCTTCATCAGGCCTCTTGACCAAACAAGTAGAGAAATATTGAGAAGTTTTCAGCTTCACCATCCCGATATTTATGAAAGAGAACCAACTTCAGTCTCAAGAACTTGCGAGAGTAAATATTCATTTGCCTTTTGGTCCACCACTGAGCTTTTTACGTACCCTTCACTAGAAGCTAAGTCCGCCTCTTGCTTACACTTTTGTTGGAGCTAGATTCATCATTGTGGATACAACTCTGCCAAGAGTGAACCATACACAAGAGATCGCTACAGAAAAGGGCTTTCACCAGCTTATTTATGTAGGTCCGATTTCTAGGGCTGCATAAGCATTAAGTTCTGAATCCATACGTGAAACTTCTTTACAAGCAAGTTCTAATCCTAGAAGACGAGATGTGAAGCTCTGAGTGTGCAATAACTTTCTCATATGTTAATTGCATTGTTGAAGAGTTCTATATGACTTCATTACTCTCAATTTATTTCTCTCGATCTGTCCTTACTGAGAAAATGGTGGCTTCAATTTTGTTTTCTTATCTTCAGTATCATCTTCCCCAACCTTGAACATTTTCTTCAGTCTGTATCAAGATAAATTTAAAATATTTAGTACCCTGGCAATGGGTCCCAAAGTGCGAAAATACTTAGAAGCCAGATGCAATACTTTTGCTACACAATTTCTGTTTATCTTCCATCTAGACAGCTTCAAGTAGGATTTTTCTTAATGTCATCGAATCTGTCTTTTGACCTACATTGGTCTATCTTCTTTGCTATCTCGTCTGCTTTCCTAGTCTAAAAATATTTTTAAACTCTGAGTTGTTTACCAAATTTCTTAGTTACTCTGTCTATACTGATCCTAGCTATCAAGAGGCAAGTATTAAAATCAATAATCTCTTGAAAATCTTCATTGAATCAATTTTATTACTTCTAATTTCTCTGTTCTTCTGAGGCAAGGAATTGCTTTACCTTTCAACTCATTGCTAGAACTTTCTGATAAATTCCAAAACTTGATGGTAGTCCTCGAGAGACTGGCCTTGTATAGCTCCTCTCAGGTTTGGGAATGAGGATAAGTACGCTGTAGACTCTTCTTGATGACTTCGATTCTTTGAAAGTAACTTTACGGATTTGATTTTCATCAAGTTTGCTTAACATCTGATGGAATTAATTAATGTAGTATATTTAAAAAATTTCTAAACCTGTTCAGGAAGAAGGTGCATCCAACTGTAAAAATTAGAGTCAAGCTGATGCATATATTTAATTAATGAAAGATCAACCAGTCATGAACATGAAGCTCATCAGCTTGCTTTAACTAGGAGGCAAAGTTTCTCCAAATACGAGCTCTATCGGCTCCTCACTTCAGAAGGACAGGCATTTCTGCCTCCATATAACCAATGAACTGTAAAATGTATATATCAGATATCATTAGTGAAAGGAAGAGGTATTTGCAGACAAGAAACGTCAACACCAGGAATCTTTCTAACTTCAATGGGCTGAAGACAGAATGTCTAGTCCAGTTCTTTGCAGAGCAGTGAGATGGGGAGAAATATCTTCCAAATAAGTGGAAGGTGATGTAGCTTTCAAGAGAGTGGATTAGTAGCTTACGCAAGCCTTTGGTGTAAACTCTGATAAGTAAAACTCTTCAGAGTAAAAAATTTAAAGAGTTAGTCAAAGACAATATTAAGCTTAGGTAAGTGAAGGTTCTGGGAAGAAAGAACTTAACTGTGGACATTCTCCCTGCTATTAAAGAGTTGTTTGAGCAAATAGAATGGTATCAAGTAAGAAACTATCTCTTTCTGACAGATAATAGTAAACAAAGGATGAAGTTGTTGATACTGAATAAGATAAAACAACTAAAAAAGAAGAGATGAAATATAAGGAGGTTGGAGAGAAGAGAGGCAGAATAAGTTTATTGCTAACCTCAAGCTATAAATACCGAAACTAAAGGATTAGCTTCTCGTTTCTCGACACGAGAGGGATACTATAATGAGGAACAGAGATATCTTGAACCACCTATTTGACGAGAACATAACTAATATGTATGGTAACCCCCCTACCTCAAGACAAAGATAATCATTAACTTATGTATAAAATTTAGTGTAGGGGTTTTGGGGTTTTGGGGTTTTGGGG